TATATTAATATTCTTTCGTTTTTATTATTATTTCAGTTAGATTCCTGGACCAGTTTCTGACAACATGACCATCACAGGAGAAAAAATTCTTCTTGCTAAGAGCGAGTGCATCTTTATTCAGTTCGACATCTCCAACTTTTACCCGTCGATCACTGATGACATTTTGGTCGCTATAAACCTGGCCAAGAATTATTGCATCATCTACGACGAGGATATCAGCATCGTTATGCAAGCCCCAAAACCCATCCTATACCACGATGGTTATTTGTGGACCAAAAAAGACAACCCCTACTTCTCTATAGCGAAGAGAACGTTTGACTCGGCAGAAGCTTGTGAATTAGTCGGCATACTATTGCTGTAGAGGCTCAGGTATACTTTCGACAGTGAGAGCACTAAGATGACGAAGTTATACTTCTACGCAACATCAATCCAGAGCAAACTGACCGGCTCGGAAAACAACTAATTAAATTCTTTAAGGATCACGGATTTAATATCACCAACGCCAAGGTGATCAACTTTCTCGATACTACTTTAGATCTCTTCAGAGGAGTTCATATGCCTTATACTAAATAGTTTTATAACCATATATTAATTAGTAAAGAATCTAGTCATCCACCAGTCATCCTTAATAATCTGCACATATCTGTCCAACATTGACTCTCGACTAACTCCTGTAATACATCTTTGATAAAGTCAAAGCCAAATATGTCGATACCCTAAATAAAAGTAAGCACAATATTAAACTAGAGTACGTCCCAAACCAGTAGTAAACGTAGAAATAGAAAATGCAGCATAATTTAGTTCAAACCACCTTTCAATAGTAACGTCAGAACCAACATTGGCAGAACCTTCCTTAAATTAATACACACACTTTAACTATAACCATTTTCTCAAAAGCATCTTCAATAAGAACATCATTAAGTTTAGTTATACCTTCACTAGAAACCTTAACCAATATATAGCCCAATATAATAGTGTAACCCTTAATAAATACTTAAGCAAAAATAATTACAACTGGAGCTATATCTGTCCTTTGAATGACAAATGAATGTATAAAGGAGTTATTTATAAGACCAGCATCAAGCATAATGACCAACTTAAATTTTATTTCGGGTCAACTGCTAATAATTGGAAAAAAAACGTTTTTATCATCATAAAATGACCCTTAACAAAAAAAAAAAAAATACGAAAATATCACAACAATCCGGGGTACCAAAACAGATAGATGCACACCTGCAGTGAATTGGGAAATCGGTCGCTAAAATCAATCCATTCCCAGGAAGTGGGGACAGGCACAATCTATGTTTACACGAAAAATTGTTCATCTTAAGAAAATATTAATAATCCAAATCTAGTAAATAAACGAAATGATTGTATGTCTAGATGTATGCACAGAAAATCGTTTCTCTTAAAATATTGTAATCTTGGATAACCCACTTTCCGACTAAATTTAATTTCAAATTTTAATTTTCCGCCCAATTTTATATTAGGTCATACACCGATTACCTCCCTCTAACCAGACAAACATATTTTACGATCATCGTCAGCGTTCAAATTTTAAATTTTAAGTGTACTTTAGTTTTCCTTTTTTTTTTTTATTATTGACTCATACCTGAACCTTATTTCTGCACTTAAACCTCGGTATTTCTTTAGTACTGTTTTTGTGCTATTTTAATTTTGAACTAAGAATCAGCGCCCATTCCATAAACATCTGTATTTTTTTAAAAAATAAACAATGAGCGATATCACATGTCCGATGGATTGGGTAACCAACGAAACTCAAGTTGCACATTGAACGTAGGTATATATGTATTTATTTATAAATTCATGAATCATTCATAGAAAAAACAAATATAGAGGTTAATGATTTAAATAGCGAGAATACATCGTCGCAAACACATAAATATGATACACCAACCCCGAACCTGTATATGAATGATATGATCCCCGTTTATAAATTCCAGTTGCATAAGGTCTTTTAATTTTTACAAGCTTTCGTCTGTTCCTACAGACATCATCAGTATATATATATATATATATATATATATAGATAGATAGATATAATATCCATTAGAACCCATTTAAACACACACACAAATTTACCAGACTCCATTAGAAACAAACTAGTAGAAAACACAAATATATTAACTGCATCCACCTGCAAAAAAAAAAAAACACTAAAAATAATGGAAGCTTTAATAATAAAAAAGAAAAAGCTAACTCTTAACAATATTAACTCCGAACAAAGCCACAATGTGCTAACCGTATTCGGAAATTATTAACGTCCCTATTACACACTAAGACATACACAGAACGCACAAACTCAATTAAACTGAAAAATCGAATCATCCGTGATAATGGCTAAAAGTATAGCCGAAAGCGCTTGGAAATATAAAATATTTGGACAGTTCTTACACACCCATTGCCCAGAAAAGAAAGCTCTTGTTCGAACACAAGAAAAATTAAATAAAAAGCCTAACCGTAGTACCTTGTCTGTCGTTTTTAATGAAACACGCATATATATATATATATATATATATATATATATATATATATATATATATATATATAGTTATTTTCTAAGCGTAGCTTAGATGTGGCACAAGGCCGAAAGTATGGGGCACCTAGTGAGGATCAAACTCACTTTTTAGTTGTAACTGATCTAGTGAGACAAACTTACTAACCATGACACCACGCCGAGGCGCCCCACCCACATATATATATATATATATATATATATATATATATATATATATACAAAAGGCCTAGATATATTTAATAAAAACTTCCCACTTTTGATTTGGATACTATTACACATCACACTTTTGATTTGGATACTATTACACATACACACACACACACACACACACACACACATACATACATACATACATACATATATATATATATATATATATATATATATATATATATGGGGAGAGAGAGAGAGAGAGAGAGAAAGAGATAAAGGCATTGTACATATGTTGTCTTCTTGCCCAGCGCTTCGCTGACATATGTCTTTTTTCTGAGCTCCAACTTAGAAAAATGGATTCTCTTGGTTAGCCAAGCTTCTGAACGCCATTTCTGCTAGTCTGCTTAATTTTCTTTTTCCTTCTCTATTAGGCTTGCCAACTGAACTACTTATGTCCCAGGGGTCTCCACTTTCTCATCATTTATATCTTTCGGTTCATTTCCAAGGAAGCTACCGGCCTCATGGCTTCCTATCAAGGAAAACATGCGGAAACATGCATACATTTCGCATATATAAACAAGTTCACGCCTAATTTATACAAGAAACAAAAGAAAGAAAGCTTTAATTATTCATTTATATTGACATTTTCTTTATTAAAGCCCTAGTCTGTCAATAATGTCCATATTAATTCCCGATCACTGACACCTTTTTAATTGTCAATCTTCTTCGATGATGGGACTAATAAAAATATGTTTAAATTATACATATACTAGCCTAATTTGTCAGTAAAAATTGCATTGATTCCAAAAAACAGATAGTATTTTTCTTTCAGATGTCCAATTCATCCCTATAATAAATAATTAGTAATATTAGTACCCGCAAAGATTTCACGGTTTTCCTATTTGAATTTTCTGATGAATCTTAATTCTTCAGTTAATGATTAAGCAAGTTCACAGAGAGTTCTACGACAATAAAATATCCTTAGAATTCCCCTACAGTGACGTTAAATATTTGCGCTGAACAACTTAAGAAGTGGGTACAAATGAAAAGATTTAAAATTGACAACTTTTTCCATTTCACTGAAACAGACGTTAAACATGTCTATCTCCCATTCTTTCTTGCTTGATTTCTTTCTTGCTTGATTTCTTTCTTTCTTCATTTAATTCATCAAGTAGTGATTTTCTCCTCTTTCAACGCAATCAAAACGGAATAGTCCAATATTTATGAGATATTGGCAAGATACGTTAAATACTTCTATCTTCTTTTCTTTTGTTCCTTTCATTTTTTTTTAGTATTTTTTCCTCTCTTTACACGCGATCGACATGGAATAGTCAATTATTTATGAGGTATTGGCAGGACGTAGCGTTCGTACGAACTAACGAACGGAGGGAAAAGCACAATTATAATAGGATATTTGAATAGCATTGAATAGAATTGTTCTTAAATAGTCTCATCAGATCGAGACTTTCATATGAATGTCATGCATAATAAGGCACGTTGATTTTTCATTGTTTTAAGGAAAAACGGTGTGAAAGCTGGGGTTTGATGTGATAAGTACTAACACCAAAAGTTAGATTCATAGCGTTTAGAGTTTTTTAAGCATTTAGTTTTAAATATCGTCTACAGAAATAGCTAAATTCAGCAGGTTTTTGCGTACAAACTGACTTAAAAATTCTACTATTTCAAGAATAAATGCAAATAAAGTTGATATCTTTTGTATTAGATACATTGAAGAGAAAATGTATTGAAATCAAAATTCTAATTATGAATCACCACAAGAAAAATATGAAATTTTTTGAAATGTATTCGGTAAATAAAAACAGTGTAACAAATTGTAAAACATCACAAAAATGGCTACTGAATGAACATTTGTTAGATTCTAATTAATCAAAACAAAAAACTGTATTTAACACCATACTACTTCTGGACACTAATTAAAGGAATGTTTTAATTTTGCATTGTTTATTGAAAATCACTCTAAAACTACTGCATTGAATAACATATATCATAATATAGCTAAATTTTTCAGTATAATTTCCCTTTGAAGTAAATTGAGGGATTATTTGATGGCACAATGATTTAGTAATAATTCGCTTGTCATTCACCTTGTCCATATACAATTTGTAAGGCTACAGTAAAGTATAAATTTTATAAGGCTGTGCTATAAGTCTTTCACTGATCACTGGAATGAAATTGCAACGTTATGATTTTGAGCTTAAACTCAATAAAAATAGTATTTCGAATATTTTTCTGAATATATTCGTAATAAATTCTATAAAATCAAAACAAATTGTGTCTTGTAAATGCTTTAAGAGAGTGTTAAGAACAAGGGTGGACAAAGGACTAGAAAGAAAGAAAGAAAGAAAGAAAGAAAGAAAGAAAGAAAGAAAGAAAGAAAGCGGAAAGGACGATTAACGGAATAAAAAAGAAAAAGGGAAGGAAAGACGCATGAAGAACGATTAGATTGAATACGAATGAACAAAGAAAGAAAGAAGAGACAGAAATAAAGAAAAAAAAAAGAAAGAAGAGAAAGAAAGAGAAGGAAAAAAGAAAGAAAGCGAGAAGAGAAAGAAAGAAAGAAAGAGGAGGAAAAAAGAAAGAAAAAAGAAAGAAAGACGAAGAAGAAAGAAAGAAATAGAGAAAAGAAAAAGAAAGAATCGACCAGCCCTACTGCATGGTGCCAGACACGCTCCAGAAGAGATAAACAGAAATAAATATGATTTTTAAGTCGCTATTTTCCAAAAATAAAGTGATATATGCCATGTACACTTGTACATTAACCCTAGAAATGTAAGATTTAACGTGAAAAAATTCAGGAAAACTGTTCTTTACCAAAACGCATTTCATCCTCTGGTGGTCTTTATCAAGGCAAATGTAAGGATTTTATTTTGCAACATGCATTTACAAGTAAAAACATCATTAAGTTTTCAAAATTTTTAAATTTAAAAATACTCAAAAATATTCTTAGGCTAACTGAGAAATTCAAGGAAGATGTTAAGTGATGTCATAATAAACAAAAGTGAGTAAATGTGGTTAACGTTGTTGAATGTTTTATTTCATATATATATATATATATATATATATATATATATATATATATATATATATATATATATATATATATATTAGTTATACATATATATATAATAGTTATTGTTCAGAGTTGATTTAAACCAGAAAACAGTTGTATTAAAAATGCTAAATACGTATAAAAAAATTCAACATGCAAAGCTTGTAAATTTTAAAAAAAAGGAGATCAGCCAGTCACGCTATCTTGGTTTGAAACCAAGGTAGTGTGATTGATTTATGTATTATATATATATTATATTATATATTATATATATATATATATTTATTATATATTATATATATATATATATATATATATATATATTGTTCATAATTTTATTTATTAATGTAATTATTATGTTATTTTATTCTAATTTGATAAATTGTTTATGTATTTATTCATTTTAAATAATAAAAGGATCCAATTTAACTGGTTCCTTTTAAGTTTAAAGTTTTTATTCTGCATGTTGAATTGGGAAATGAGTATTTCTTTTAGGAAATGAGATATTTGCAAAAATCCGGGGCGTAGGTTAACGTTTTGGCCAGATACGGCAGTGGCGCTCAAAAGAACTTTCCGTCTAAATAAATTATTTTCTCTTTTATCATTTTTATTAAGAGAAACGAGTTATTTATGGCAGATTGTTTCAGTAAGTGTTATTGAAAGTCGTGTGGAAATGTAATTTAAATTGCATCACATAACATCGTCCATATATTAGCTTAGCTTTCATAATTAGCCTGGAGAATATTTATGAATGTTCTTAAATTTTTGGAAGACCTAACGATATTTTATACTTCTGTTTATAAGAACAAATTGTAAAAAAAAATCCTGATATTAGCATTCTTAAAAAGGACGAAACGAGTTTCGAAAAGAAAAGTTTTTTTTTTTTTACTTTATTCATTCACTCATATATATATATATATATATATATATATATCGAGTACTCTCCCGTCGTTGATCGACTAGGGCCTACCGTGGACTCTTTTACTCCGTATGATTATAGTGGTGAAGGTTTTTTTGCAGAACCAAAAACCCTTTTTGAAGAGCCAAATACAGAGACCTGTTGCACCAAACGAGCCTCCTCAGGGTTTTAATTCGGTTTGTCCTTCTAGACAAGTTGCACTCCAAGGCTATAGTCTGCCTTGATATTTACCCATAGGTGGGGGTAGAAGAAGAAAATTCATACCTTTCCCTAGGGTATTAGTATGTAAGTGAATGTAATGGATTCGATTGGAATTCGAACTCGGCCCTCCGATTCCTCAATCCGAGCTGCTATCTAATGTGCCTCCATAATCCACCGTGCATCCATATATATATATTAGTTCAACTATCAGTTTAACACTGTTTAGTCCAATATATATATATATATATATATATATATATCTTATAAAAAAAATTTATAACATAAATATGTTATAAAATCACTACAAATATAGCCATTTTCTTTCAACACCCACGGTATCTTATCAAGTGATGATGTTGAATATTAGCTCCTATTACTGTCGAGCACTGTCTATTCTATTCTTTTACTATGGATAGAATCAATTTCGGAGTATCACTTAAAAACGTTCCCACCACGAACAAAAAGGATTATTTCGTCCATTTAACTCAGCAAACGGAATATAGACATTCAACATCATCACTTGATAAGACACCGGGGGTGTTGAAACAAAATGGCTATTTTTGTAGTGTTTTTATAACATATTTATGTTATAAATTTTTTTTTATAAAATAATTATATCTGCTCTACTTTGTATTGAGTACTCTTTTAAGAATAGTAATTGCTGATTATTGGAATTCATTCCGTATACACCAATTATATACTTGCGTATATATATATATATATATATATATATATATATATATATATATATATATATATATATAAACGTGGACATAAAGTCAACACTTAGAGGCGACAGTCCGTTTCATGCTAGATGCAATCGTCAGGCCTGACGATTGCATATGTTGACTTCTATGTTCACGTTTATATTTACATACGCTCTATCTCTGATATTGAGCACTTTATCCCATAAATATAGCACACCTTAAGACTATATATATATATATATATATATATATATGATATTTTATTGTAATAGATTACAATAAAAACATATATATATATAGGTTCCAAACACACACACACACACACACACACATATATATATATATATATATATATATATATATTAATAGTAATACTCGTTTGGAAAAAAACTTGGTTAGCACAACTTGTAGATATGTCAAAACAAATCGGTATCGAGAAAAAACTGGAAAAATAAGAAAGAACTAAAACATTTGAACAGGGCGAAATAAATCGTCCACTGCCTAAAGTCTTTAGTCGAAAGAAAAAAAAAAACCAAGCGGGTAGTAAAGCTAAAATGTAAAGTGCTCAAAACGCTAAGTAGAGCGGGAAAAAATAAAATAAATCTTAAACGGATCTTCAGGTAAGTTTACCCTGTAGAGCTGTTTAGGTGAAACCTAGATAGGTTTCCTGGCTCTTTAGGATCTATTATATATATATATATATATATATATATATATATATATATATATATATATATATATATATATATATATTATCTTTATTTATTAGTGGAAAACTATTCACTATAGTAGGTACTTCGTTTGTTGATATTGACGACTAAAGAGAAGGGAATTTTCAATTCCCTTACAATTCCGATGTTTAGTCAATTGTTCAGACATTAGGCAGTGAGTCTGGTCTAGAACCTTTCAACACCCTATCCTATAAACGTTTGGGATGAATTTCCTATCTATGGAATCCATACTCTTTATAAAGGAAGCGATTGAAAGGCGACAACGTCAAATTTGTCCTCTCCTTTTGCATTTAATTTGTTTTCTGGGAAGAAAAATGACGACATTGACCTTTTCATTCATAGAACTGAAGATGAAAGGCCTCCGACGCCTTTATGACTAGCTTTGGTTATGAGAGTAGTGTGAATGTCTATTAGCCAGAATGGTGAGACTGTCTCTCTCATGTGACCTCTGCCTATCAGGATTTCATTCGATGTTTAGACTTAGTAAATATCAACGTGGAAAGCTTCTAATCATGTCGTTAAATTTAAAATAAAAGTGGCTTTGTTACAGCCACTGTATCTTTCTCTTTTTCATACCTGATGCAAAGAGAGAAAATTGAACACGCAGAGTTTGTAAATTTAAAAAAAATGGAGATCAGCCAAACCAAGGTAGTGTAATTGGCTGAACTTTTTAAATATATATATATATATATATATATATTAAATAACAACAGACCACTTTAAAGTTCCATGTAATAAATTATTTCACCACAGCCCTTTTAAAGGACTGCGGATCATCAGACTTTACTTCCAATTGTTTGGAAGTAAAGTCTGATGATCCGCAGGAAATGAGATGTTTGCAAAAATCCGGGGCGTAGGTTAACGTTTTGGCAAGATGCAGTAGTAGCACTCTCAAGAACTTTCCGTCTAAGTAACTTATTTCTTTTATCGTTTTTATTAAAAGGGAAACGAGTTACTCATGGCAGATTGTTTCAATAAGTCATTTCATCAATTGGAATGACTTTTAACAGAGACAATAGAAATTTTCTTGTATTATTTAGATCTTTTGTTTTCCTCTTGGCTGATATAGATTTTGTTATAGACACAATGTTTCGATCAAGTAGCCTCTGTTCATCATCAGGTGAAATATCTGTATATTATTGTGATATTTTGTCCCCGTTGTACCTTCCTGTTGGTTTGGTGCGTCCAAGGCTTGAACTCATGAACACTCGAGGACAGTAACATCTATATAATCAAGACCATTATACACTCGGCCACTGTCCTGAAGGGCATTATTGGTATGTTTTTTTTTTCAGCTTTTTATATTCATTATCAAACGCTTCTGAATAATATCTAAAACATAGATGTACATTTTTTTTGCACGAGTATTTCTCTCCCTGATATCCGCCTGTGCATAAATATAGCTTTATGCCATGATTATTCTTAACTATTCTAAAATTTCTCTGAACCGAAAAATGCTTTCTGATTGCATTACATCGAGCTTTTATGCGTTTACAAATCGAAAGGTTTTTTTTTGTTCCACTAAGACCAAACCTAATGATTTTATTGTCACTTAGACAGAAATTCACTTTTGGCAACAGTCCAAAAATGATGTCAAGGCTCACTACAAATACAGAAAATGAACAATGAAACATTAAAAGAACTTAAGGAAATTTATTCCTTTAAAAATTGATTCCTTTAATTTGCCTGAAGAAGGTCACAAAACCGGAAACCCGTATAGCAAAAATATGACGAATAAAATATAATATACACACTAAAACAAATCCACATTATAACCAAAAACGTTTGCAGTCTCTCTCTTTATTTTTACCATACATTTTTCTTCTGTTGGGACAATTATAAACTTTTTCCTATATATATATATCACTTGATAAGACACCGGAGGTGTTGAAACAAAATGGCTATTTTTGTAGTGATTTATAACATATTTATGTTATAATTTTTTTAAATAGATAATTATATATATATATATATATATATATATATATATATATATGTGTGTGTGTGTGTGTGTGTGTGTGTGTGTGTGTGTGTGTGTGTAA